TATGCGTTTTTGTAGTTCTTCGATTTTTTTATTTAGATTTTTGTTTTGTTGCTCTTCATATGATGGGGTTTCGTGTTTTTTTGCTCTATTTGAATTTTAGGTGTTTGTTTTTTTTTTTTTTTTTTTTTTTTCTCAATGTAAGCGAAATTACTAACGTATCGAAGAATTTTCTATAATTTTCAATCGTTTGTGAAGAAATAAATAATAAAATTTGTCTTATTTTTCTCGTATCACACATGAAAGAAAAAAAAAAAAAGAAGGAAAGAAACGATCCAAGCGTTGATAATGCATGAACGATCGCGTACGGTTTTACGACTCTCGATCGATAGCTTCTTTTGAACTTTAAATAAGAGAAAAACAGGTGGAAAAGTTGAAAAGTCAAAAGTAAATCTTCTGATTATAAGAGAAAGAACGGGATAAAAATATTACGTATTTCACTAGGTCTCTTCAAAGGATCCTTGCCAACTTTCTAGCGTTCTTTCAAAGTTTTTAAGATTGACGAAAGCAACACCCCATTACCCTTCGACGTACGTCATCTTAACTCGGACTGCCATTGATCGAACAACAGTTTCGTCCGGAACAAGTTCAAATCAGACGAAATCGTATTACGAGCTCATCTTAAAATCTGCAAACGCGAGTAGATTACGACTGTGATACTTTTCGTAGAAGAATTTTCATCTTAATACGACATGATTCCTCCATCTTCGGCTCAGTGTCTTCGCTTTCTACACCGACTTGCCGTTTCCTTTCGAGCAACGAAAAGAGTTTCGGTCGAGTTTCATCGCATTATTTTAGAAACTTTCAATGTACAAGGTGGAAAGAAAAGTTTGTCCGCGGCTATCATAGTTGAATTCTACATCTTCGATTTGATGGAAATACATGTAAACAACCTGCCGCAAAATGGTTTTTGACCTTGTTTTTTTTTTTTTTTCTCTTTACCAAATATTTTAATTGTTTTTGATCGAATTTCAAGCTCAAAAAATTTTCTTTTTTTTTTTGCATTGCATTCCTTTTGAAAAATGGCAAAAAAGTGTTAACGCCTCTACTTTACGGTTCTGGATTCATGTCTATTATTCACGTAATTTTCGTATTAGGTTTCACTAACATTTGATTCATCATAAATAATCAAATGATAAAACTAACTGTTAACTGTAATTCGAAGTATAAACATTACATTCACGCGTCCAGAACAATAAAGTCGCTGTTAGAATGGCACGCGTCCATAGCGTCAAATTAAGATTAAGAAACTCTTTTTGTCATTTTTCAAGAAATTTTGACTCGCATCGGATAGCATGGAATTTATCCGTAAATTAAATTCGAATGCGTCTCTCTCAATGCGTTTTATCCTTGAAGCTTAATCGAAATCGTGTTCGGAACGTTGGATCGCTGGGGGCATAATCACCGAGACCTAAATCAACAATCGCTATTTATTCCGGCGGGCATCGTTGTTTGCGATTAGGAGTGTTGTAAACGTATCTCCTATATTTGTGAACACGGCATTCCTGCTTCACCGTTATAATGCTTACTTACGTTACAGGCTTATTTGCCTAACGCGTTCCCACATGGAGCTTCGTTAAAATCGGGAATTAATCTTCGCTATTATGCTCGTTTCGCAGGAAACGATAATTGCTAGCAAGTTTTATTATTGCGTGTTTTTGTACCGCGACAGCTCGATCGATCTTCTTCGATCGCTTGTACGCGCAAGAGTAAGTACCCACGTATATTAGATCTTTCATTGAAACGTTTCATAGAAGAAAAATCTAAAGAGCATAGGTCAAGTGATGATCGTGAGGATCGTGTCACAGGTTCGCCTTTTCCTCATCGTCGACCGAGAAAAGTGTCGTTCAACGATGCTGTTATAATTCCACAAAGATATCATCAAAATGGGTCAATGTTTCACTTTTATCGTCATCAACAAGGCATTACCGTGAATGGCATTACGAAACGGGTAATTTCAGTCAAAAGGGGAATAAACTTTCTCGATATAGATACTAAATACGCGTAATTAATGTCTCAATGTCGCAATGTAACGTTGTAAAAGCATCAAGTTGTATTAATCCTTCATTTGTATATACCTGCTTATAAATTACTGCAAAAAAAAAAAAAAGTTCCATCTGGACGTATCTGTCGTCCATTTGTCTGACTCTACCATCCAAAATCGAAAATCTATTACTCGTGTTCAACAGCGTTTGATTTTTCAAACAGGATCAAATGGGAACACTCGATCGAAAGCTTGTCATTTGTAACTTGTCCTGTTTCGATGCTAATTTCATCTTCAGTTTCAATAAAGTCTATCCATAGAAAATCAAACGTCACGTGTAACGAGTAGGCTGAATGATGTTTCGTCGCGTGGAAATGAACAACGTGAAAACTGTTTGGTCGCGAGCCGGGTAAAGTGTCGGTGCAAAGCCCGAGCCCGTTGAATAAGTATCTTTAACTAGCCGAGGCAACGCACGGCACACCCTCCATCGATTGCTTTCGAATGAAAAAACGCCGTCGTAACTCGATTTGCCATAATTGAAGCGTGCGCTAATCCAATTTGTCCCATGAACATGAACTCCAAAGTGCTTTTGGCCGTGGCGTGTACGCGGCATGTACGCGGCGTGACTCGTGTACGTGGGGCGTTATTATTAATTCTTTTTGCAGTTTTCAATTACGTCGTGCCGAAGCGCCGAACCACCGAACCACCGCCAACGATGTCGAACCCATTATTGCAAGGTTGAGCACGCTGCATGCGCGGCATCGAATAAAGTACGCGACAAATTACTTCGTTTGTCTTGGCGCGCAAAAGCAATTTATTCATAAACCAAGTAAAGACTACCTGCCTCTTTCGAGGTTCGCCCTCGGTATCGTAACATTCTCCGTGACATGTATTAAAAGACAACATAACGCGCCTCTTGCTAGGAATCAAAACTTCGATAATGGCGTTCTCGTGACTGGAATACGACCGAGTAAATCGAGAGTAACAGAAACTTTGACTCTCCTTCCGATTGCTCGCGTTTATTGTTGCTTCGTTAGCGGTGTAATTTCTTCAGTGAGATCCTCGTTGCATTTTTATCGCAATCCTTACCTTGGTCCACCTTTTGTTTTTATCGTTCCCTTTTTTAATTTTTATTTTTTCCTTTTACTTTCCTCTTTTTCTTCTTTTTCTTTTTTTCTTCTTTTTTTGTTTGTTTGTTTGTTTCGCTGAAATGTCGTTACTCGAAGCGACGTGTAATTTTAAATCGCAGCTTTCGCTCGCTGGTCTTTACTGACCTACCTACTCCATGCTTTGGCACCTGCATTCTGTTCAATGATAAACGCTGATTCACCGTTCTCTCTTTCTACTCGTACTATCACCGCGTCCGGCGTGCGTATTTTCAAAGAAAAAGTAGGTCACCGTGTCCCGGGGATTCGATTGCCATTCAGTATAAATGTTGCAGTTTCAAGTTGCATATTTTTCGAACAATGTGAAATGCCAACTTCAAAGAAACTTTCTTTCTTTCCTCGTGCCCTCCTATGTATCTTTCATTATCATTCGTAAAGAAAGTGAATTGCGGACCTTAAACGCGAACTTCAGCGTGCATGAATTTTCAGCGTGCGTGTATTAGAAAATTTCGCCCGGCTACGTAGTCCCTCTTTATAAAACTTCTCTCTCAATTTTTTTCTAAAATTCGTTCTCGGTCTTTATCTCCCTTTCTTCACCTCTGGTAACCACGTTCGTTCGTGCTCCTTTATTCTTCAACGTCGCGGAATGAAATTTGCGGCGATCGACGGATGACTTTAATTCATAAAAAAAGTTATTAACAACACGTACTGCGATCTGCTGACCTTTCAAACTGAGAAAAAGCTATTTTGCTCTCTCTCTCTCTCTCTCTCTCTCTCTCTCTCTCTCTCTCTCTCTCTCTAATGACAGTATGCGCTCGTATTTTAAGCCATTTTGCCAGGGTAATTCGTTGAAGGGAAGAAATGTTTTGTTAAATTAAAAATCGTTTGAGGTCGTGCGCGTACCAGGCGTTCGACACAAAGAAACACGATGCCCGACTGTCGTTAATTGCGTATCTTTACTTTTGCACAAATGCAAAATACTCAGAGTAAAATATTTGCTGTATTATGGAAATTCCGTACGTATGTAGATAATAGATATATAAATGTGGTAAATAAATAAATACGAATACGTACAGAGTAAATGAAAATTTACATAAAGTTTGCACCTCTAACGCGAGAAAACAAGATAGAAATTACGTAGGTGTAGGTAATAAAAGCAACAGTACAACAGGAGTGCAGCTCCTACAATTTTGATAGCAATGAGTTTCCTATGGGGAACGAGTACCGGAGCCGAAGCACAGAAACACGTATTTACAATGTCTCGTTAAACGACGATAGTCGCACTTTTGATCTTTGACTGAGGCATTTTTGTGATAATTCCAACATGGCTGAAAGCATGAACTGGACTCGTCTATTTTAAAACGGCGCGCAACGTCAATGCCCACTTTTCTTGGCGAGCGTAGTGGAAATTGCGCTCTCGCATATGCGAGAGTGTAGAGCGTACAGTGCGTACGGAAACGGAGACACAGCATCGCGCTGCAATCATTCTCTTCCGGCGTTAAAGTCAAGCGTGAACTGACGATACAATAGGAACAGAGACGAGTCACCTCTTCTACTTTTTGTCGTCGTTCAAACATTTCCTGGAATTTCCACTATAATTGTCGCGCCGAGATTGGAAATGATAGACTAGTGGCTCGATCCATGTCTTGGGTTAGGTTTACAGGGCATCAGTTTAAATTATTCATATTTTTTCATTGTCATTCGTATAATTATGCTTTTCACCTGTGTTTCATTATCTCAAAAGTGGTCGTAAAAGTTTTGCACTTTTGAAATTTACGAAATATCTACAGATGTCTATTTTTCTTTTAGAAACATGCAAATTACAAATACAGAGTTCATTCGTGATGAAAATCATCTTTGTCCATGTTTCTCTTTTACTCGAGTATTTTGTTGAATGTTTGTTCAGTGGATTTCAGTACGTTAACGTGCCATTAGCTCACATATTTTATACGCAAGTGATTGCGTATTGTAAATAAAGATGTATCAAAGTGGCTCGTATATTTACGAGCGGTAGCGCAAACTTGAATAAATTGCCGGGAATAAATTTCCGGTTGGTAAGTTGGCCGTCTGACATTCGAGTTTATTGCCCATGGGACGATTTATATACGATTGACTGAAGTGAATTAGGTTCCCTTCTCTTAATGCGAAAATTCGACCTTCGTGTAATATTTTATAACAAATTGAGAATAGAATGTAGCTGCGTTACGAGGAAATAAAGTAATTACGATAACGTAACTGTTAAAAAAAAAATCTCTGTTTCTTTCGATGATAAATTACTGGTAAAGTGATGAATAATCAAGCGCCATTATTATATACTTGCGACGTAAAAATCTTCTTTTTTATTGATACAAAATAAACGAAAATAATTCTCAGTATTACTTACTATTTGTACAGTAAACTCATTGTTCCTAATTTTGGACTTGCGAGCGGGTTGTGTAACGTGTATTGTCTATCGTTACCATTCGACAGTCACACAGTCGTGCAATTAAATGAGGTTTTTGCGTGTACGTATCACCTCCGATTTAATCTCTTTCTCGCGTGAAGAAAAATGAAATGGAATTTTACGAAAGCGATCCGTTAATAGATCTCTCGGTACGTCTAGTTTTTCGTATCAAGGGAAAATAACAGCGTGCTTGAACGATATTTCGGAAACGTTTAATCGCTGTTTTTCGAACGACATCAGCGACGCGGTACACGAAAACGCGTGTAATCCGCTCATGTCCAGATACGTATGGGAAATGGGAAATTCGTGTGGATAATTCGATACGTTGTACGTTTTTGTTTCCAAGTAAAAATTTCCACGCGTTTGACACGTCTAACACGTAAAAATCTTGTTACGTAAAAACGTTACAGACATCCGTTAAACAGATGGATTACTGCGTAAGTTGCAGTCGCCAAATCTTTATATATATCGTTTTGCAAAAATCTATCCTGTTCTACAAAAATATTTACTTTCATTCCAACAAATGGTATAAAGAAATGTACGTATTAATACCATGAATTGTCTGAATCTACTAAAGCATCGATAGAGAAATAAGTTTCAAATCTCAGCGTAACGAGCTGTTTCGATGAAACAATTCCCTGGATAGAGGGAAACTATAGAGAGCTACGGATATCAATGGGTTTCCTAATTAAACGTAGCATCAATCGCAATCTATATTCGATTCTACGGCATGGTATCGTTCGATCGAAATAAAGCGGTAAATCGAATTTCAACGAAAGGATGCAAACTAAAGCCGCGATAATCTATTTAAACCGACTTCTCGTTCATTGATTTAACGCACGAGCGATGCTGGTATTGTATATTTCCGCTTCCTATTCTCTCTGTTGTCAATGTTTCGTTCATCCATCAAACAAGTAATTTCAGTATACGATTATATGTATATGTGTGTGTGTGTGTATTTACTAGTCTGGTAATATCACAGAGAGGACAATCTTATTCGGATGTCGTAGGACTTCGTTACTGGTCTCAGCATACTGTCACGCGGTTCCATCGACGAGAAACTCCGCTGGACATTTTCCCTTTACGACATCAATGGCGACGGTTGCATCACCAGGGAAGAAATGACAGACATCGTGACGGCTGTGTACGAGCTGATGGGGAAATTTGCCGATCCGAATTTAGACCACGAAGGCGTACGAGAGAAAGTAGATCGAATATTTCAGGTATGAATCTTTTTCCTGTTTTCGTCCGTAATCGGATAATTCCATTTGCACGAAAAATATTATTGCACACGCGTGGAGTAGTTTACAAAATACATCGAATCAGTTTGACCCATATTGATACGTACATTACTTGCTGACTGACGATTCATTTGTCGAACCGAGGCGCCAGCATGTTGCAACGACTGGGAAGATCGATCAGCTACTCGATGATCTTTCGTCGCAGAACGTAACGACAAAAAGTTTCCACGGTTTTTGACAAGCTTGTTCGTTCGCTTTGACGAAGGGAAACGAGTGCTGATAAAGCAGCCAGTCGACTCGAATGATGCAAGAAGTCCTTTCTTTTCACCGACTGTCACATTGTTAGCCGCGAATGACAATGCCTATCTACTCCCTTCTCCCTGTCATCTTTCTTTTACGTCGAGTAAAAGACGATCCTCTATATCTCGTCTACTGGCGAGACACAATTTTCCCGCCAACATCACGTTTCATGAAACCAGTTTTATCTCACCCCTCGTTTCAAGACTTGCTCGATTTTGACTTTCGTTTTGTCACAGCGGTCTCATTCCGTGTAAAAAGTTTGAAAGTATTTTATATTGGTATAATGTATTTTACACCAATTTTATTGGTTACACCTATATAAGAATCATAATAAAAGTAAACGAATTGTTGCACTGCTCGTCGTTCTTCATGTGCAACCGCGACCGATCGACGCGCGATAATTTTTAATCTCCATTTCGAATTGCTCACCAGCAACCGGTCAAATTTACGTGGAAACGGAAACGTTACGAATGTTAAACTTGCAACGAACTTGAATTGGCAAAGCTAGTAGGAAATCCAAGGGTAAACGGCTTGTTTACGGTTACCGGTTTTCCTTCTCACATATGCATGCGCATACGTGCACAAAGAGCTAAGGGAACTAACAAACACCGGGTACCGGGGAGGGGGGGGGGGGGGGGGGGGGGATGAGTGGCGAGGAAACTAGTACGATTCCAACGTGAAATCGCATTGCAAAACATGCACTCACGTACGTTTCAACGCTGACTAAATGTCCAAACTTCTCCAAACACTTTGGTGGTCTGTCATTTTAGCATCTTGTTGTTTCGCCAAGGCTGACGAACTTCGTTGTATTTACAGCTACATACGTACGCGTGAGTACCGACGAAACATTTGTCAGTTTCATTGTTCTATCAACGGTAAATCATTGTTCCAACATTGTGTACAATGAGAGAACGAGATGTATGGTACTTGTTTATATAATTAAGAGCGTGTGTTGAAAAGTAAAAGTGTATACGTTGGATAGCGCGCACTATTGGATGCTGTTGCTTAACCGAGTTCAGTGCATGAATTCTCGCATTTTCAATAGAGACGGGGATAGGAACAAGCGGGAGAAATGCGAAATTGCCAATTTAAAGTTTGTTCCTTGACGATACAAAAGGAAGAAGAAGAGGAAAAGTTTAAAGTAGTTGATATTTCGCTTTTATCGATTACTTCCCTTCGTTGGTATCCGGTGCTATTGTCCAACGGTATCTGTTGGTGTACTTTGCTGCTCAATGTGTTCGAATAGATTATTCTACTCCTTTACAAGTGTCGTATATTTATGAAATGCAATTGTAAATAAAATAAAAATACGTGCACCGTTGTTGTAAGTGGATAATACCGATAATAAGTGGAAGTAATTCGAACAGTATTACGTACGTAACAATGTTATAATATAAATGATATAAACGCACGATCAAATACGATTGAGCGTGCGCTGAAAGAAATGATAGATATTTGATCGTTTTCGTTAAAATTAAATGAATCCTCGACGGCGCGTGTGTTGAGCCGTTTGTTATTCGTTTCAATTGTTATTCACTGTTATTCATTTCATCGTGTCAGTCTGGAGTATTAATTGCATTTTTATGAAACGGCGAAAGCTTCGTGAACAATGCTTCGGCATGCATGTCCGAATAAATCTATTTTCAAAGAGTGACAATATAAAACGCTATACGCATATATATATACGGCGCACTTTTTACACGCATCATACGCGCAATACGATATTGTTGAAACAAAAGTTGTAGAAATTCTTCTGTTGCCGATGCAAGGAGCGTACAGATGCGTAGAAAGGAAAGGAACAATTTTAATAACGAAACAGCAAACGAGTTTGCGCCGAAATTCTGGCATCACGGTTACCAGGTGGATGATGCTGTTCCTTTTGATAGACGACAGACAGAAGGTTTCAACAAACGGCGATGATGCTTCGGGATGCGATGGATTCAATCGCTGCTAATTAATCAGGGAGAAAGCAGATATAACTGACGCGTGTTACGCCACATACGGTTCGTTATCCCGTATAGACTTTTAATTAAAAACGAGCAACGTATATATATATATATATAGGTGGGTAGGTATCGCATCAGATTCATTGTTTCTGAAAACCACCTGCCCAACTTTCGAAAGCTCTTTATGCTCGGTCAAATATGCAGATCGTGCTGTATTTAAAAACAGGGTCAAGCGGCTTCGATCACCTACACAAATAAGTTTAAAACGTATATGTAAGAACGTTACGTAACCTGTACGTAAATTGGAGCGATGAAACAGTTTTAACGTCTTCGATGATCAAACGTTATCGTATTCCGATTGCATCCAAATTTTACACCTAATTAAATACTTTTGTTTGCACATGTGTACAAACTCGTGCAAGATTGTGAAATATCACACGAGTATCGGACAACAGAATCGTCTAACGCGTGTCACTGGAAGCAAACTTTGAAATATCAACGCGCTACTTACTTGCGTATTTTTTACGTTTACTTTATTTTGGATTTTTAACGATCCAATAAAATCACTTAATTTCCAGTCGCTTTGATGAAGCTTTGACGCGCGTAAAATTCAACAGAATCGAGTAATGTAAATTGAATTTAAAAAAATAACAAACGAGAAGCGGGGTTGACTAAGGGTTGGCATTCTAAAGCCGCCCGTTAACGCGACGGATTGAGCAAATTCTGTCCGTGCCGCGTATTTCTAGCCAGCCGCGCGGAAAGGAGCAAAGGAAAAAAAAAAAAAAAATAAAATAAAATAAAATAAAATAAAATAAAATAAAATTGAGAAGGAATAAAGGACAGAAATGTTTGTGACTGTTGCAGAAGATGGACGGGAACAAAGACGGAGTGGTGACGCTGTCGGAATTTTTAGAAGCGTGTCGCGCCGATCCTGATATTTCGACGAGCATGGCAGCTTTAGACACGGCCTTCTGACACTCGGCGCGGCCACGATACATGCCATGGACCTGAAGAGATTCTGTCGATTTGGGAATATATCGCTCAACGTTGTACCTTACCTCCTGGACCAGGGGAAAGAGTTTCCTCAAGGTGTATTACTAGATAGACTAGCGTCTACGTGTGCGAATTTCCAGAGTCGGGGCGTCTCGAGGGGAAAACGATGTAGATTTTTTCCTATAACTTGTTGAAACACGGTTAAGAGAATAACGCGTGGTTAGTCGCGTTAAAGGATCCGATTCGCGGAACAACGCGTCAGAGGCTTTCGTCGCTTTTGCAACGTGCGTGGTTTTGGGTGTGCGTGTGCCCGAGGATGTTCAACATCACAGACGACACGCACGCTCTCTAAGATCCAAGAGTCCGCACGAAATGGTCCTAAGAACGTACTAGAGATTGTACTTTCGAGATTCGTAGTCCTAGTTATTCAGTATGCGTATCGCTAGGTAAGAGAGGATTAGATGAGAGCATCATTAAGCAAAGAATAACAAAAAAAAAAAAAAAAGAAAAAGAAAAAGAAAAAAAGAAAAAAACAAAAGAAAAGGAACGACGTTATTATTGACGATTGTTAGTAGTTACGAGACGGAGCATGTTGGCGAACTGTTTCCGGTAGTTGATTTTTAAAGAACGCGCGCTACAAACGATGAACGAATATGCAAATTTAGAGGAAGCAAGACTAATAAAAACAAAGATACTATTCGCAACGACGTGACGAATAGATGAATAAAATTTACTTTAATACAGTGCAAGTTGGCGTTGCAAAGGTCTAAGAAAAATGGATCATATTCGCATAGCAGAGTGCATCACGAAGAAAAAGGGAAGCAAATTTTTGCAAAACAGTGTGCCATTGAGATTTGACGTAAATTGTACGTGGCATTGTTCGTGCCAAAGTATAGTTTTATAGGAATGACACAAATAGCACAAATATTTGTGTGGAAATAATTGAGCTTAGCTTACGTTTCTTTTTACCCTTGCGTTCTTTACTTAAAAAAAACTAACGAAATTTTTCGACGAAAAGAAAGAGAGAGAGACATTTTCACTTTAGCTCATATTTTACATATACTGAAAGACACGCATGCATGGTAACATGGATTCTTAACGATTTACAATAACAACGTAGAATTTTCTAGTCTAGAGTTTTCTATGACAACCATATTTTTTTATAAACCTATTGTTTGTTACGTGACGTAGCTTTTACATTTACATTTCATTGATACTACCCAATCGCGTAAAAATTTACGCTGTCTTCGAATGTAAATGAAGCGTTTTTCTTTTCTTTTTCTTTTTTTTTTCTTTTTTTTTTTCAATTTGTACGTCATCGTTGCCGAGAGAATCACACGAGTTTCCGTTGTTTCATTTCATTTCATTTCACTTCATTTTTTGATACCACCGTTCTTTCCTGCTACCGAGCAGGTAGGCATCTTAGGAACCTTAGATTTCCTAATTTCGTAAAGCTTGCGAAAAGGATAAAATGGTTCTAGATGTTGTTAGACAATTTCGAGGAGATTGCGAATTACCGATAGATTTTTAGTTGCAAGACGAAACACCGCAGCGAGCGAAGCTAGGTCGCGCATTCCTCGCCAGGTGTTTTTCCCAGTGGCGTCGCAAATAAAAACGGGTAGCAGTAAACTCTTGAGTACGAATTTAATGATAATAAAACGCAAGAATCGGCAGAAATTAGCGGAGGAATTCGCCGGAGAAACAAAATGAAAGCAAAGAGGAAAGAAAAAAAAAAAAAAAGAAACTTGAAATAATTAGCGCGAGACGTAGAAAGTATACAAAAAGAAAAACAGAGAAAAGAGAGATATCGTAAAACCCGCTGAAGCAGCTGGCCATGTTGAGAGCGGGTCTCGTTGTTTCTAGTACGTAAGCGAGTAGATTAAGCGACATAATAAAAGTATTTATTTTTGTGACAGGTAAATGAATTATTAATCGTGGTAAGAATTTAGCTCGTAAAGACTGCGTGCTGCTAAAGAGAGAGAAGAAAGTAGAGAGATGGATGGGAGGGGAAGGGAGTGAGAGCGAGAAGAAAATTTAGAAGAAATGCGCCGAAGAAGAACGCGGAGAACAGAAAAGAAGGATGGGGAGGGGGGGAGGGGGGGGGGAGAAAAAAGAAAAAAGAAAAAAGAGAGATGAAAATTGAAAAAGGAGAAACGGGGACAGGGGGAGCAGAACAGTCTGTTGATTTGCGATTCAAAAGATCTTCGATCCGGAACCTACGAATATACCGAATTTTATTGTAATTACTAAAGTTTTGCGATGACTGGACCAAAGCGTCCGCAACGGGCAATGACGATTCCCGAGCGAAATATATTTAATCATTTTCCACATCACTGCCTACTTCTGATTAACTTGTAAATAAGGTCGGTCGAACTCGAACGAACGAAACAAGACTCGCGATGCATCGAAAACTTTGAACTTCTACTACTTATTACTACGTGTGTAGTTCGATGCGTTTCAAGAAAAGGAACGAGAAACGAGAAACGAGAAACGAGATAATTGAGGAACCGAGACAAAGTCACTCCAACGAATCGCTCGCACTCGTCAAATTTTCTTTTCTATCGCACGATTGTCATGAATGTCGTTGCGTGAATTATGAAACCATAGCTTCTTTCGAACTCCAACTTGCGTGCGTTTACATTTGTTTGCGGATTACTTCGTTTTACCGGCGGTAATACGAAAAAAAGAAGAAAAAGAAAAAAAAAATTGCACGATGCATCGATAACAAACGTGGCTGTAAACGAAAAGAAACGAGATATCGAAATATTGAAATGTTAAATTTCATGGAAACGAGAATCCAATGGAAAGGGCAGGGAAATAGATCTGGTACGCGATGAAATGTCGAAAAGAGACTCCGATTTCTCCGATTTTTAGCAGCGCCTATACATTTACAATTAGATGATAAGATTTACGTATAAAAGGTGGGGCAAGCACGTCAAAGCGTTGCCTCGTATCAACTCGATCACTACCGCATGTCTTTGAAGTTTCTGAAGTAAGTATAGAGAAGACAAAGGGAGCGTCGTAATTACGTTATCTAGATACCGATTTTCGAGCCCAACCAAATGTTAGAGCTAGATGTCAGAAAAGAAAGCGTGAAATGTCTCGCGTCCACGCCGTTGATCGAGAATACGATAGCTCGAGATATCGGCTAATAAATCTTACCTTTCCTATTTTCCATTAATTCAACGAACGTTAATGTCACTTTACCATACGATACATTCAGATGAAATTCAGCTAATCGGACAATAAAATTTCTTTTCGCGGTAGCACGGCGAACACACAGAAAGGAGAATTGTATCATGTATAAACTGGTATGCAGATTAACGGCGCAGTGATGTGATTTTAAAACAAACAAATCGTACATTAGTTCTATCTTATACTTGGTCAACGCGTGTGCATGCTTTCGTACAGGTATGTGCAATACTAAACACATTAGCACGATCGTATTCACGTACATGCATACATCATCACTAACAGTAAATTGTCTTATCTTACTCTTATAGTGTGTTTAGAGTCTCTCGCATCTCTAAGATCTTGTATCTATGATTAAAAAATTTGATCGATGATGAGCAACTACTGCACCGTTATCGGTAGTTAACCGAAATTATATTATATACGTATTTAACGTCTTTTAGAATACTTTGAAAACAAGGTAACACGTAGGAGAAAAAAAAAAAAAAAAAAAAAACAGAAAGATATTAACTAAACGATTAAAAAGAAATTCATGCGAAATTAAAAATTGGCAATCTCATCGAGGACAAACTTTTAAAGTGTTACTCAAAATTTGCATCGTACAAGTTCCATGTACACGCGAACGATACCATTGCGAGTAACTCGAATCGAATAACAGAAATCTTCCTTTTCCGTGCAACTTTGCAAATTATTTCCCTGATATTTTCCCCCAAGGACCAGAGATTGTATTTTCTAAGGAACGATTTTCAAGGAAAAATATCGAAGAAATGTTTCTTAAGTTTCATATCGACGTAGACAATAAGAGAACAAGTTGCATCGGAATCGTTTTCACATGCATCGGTCGTCACTCTCATTCTATAGGTGCAACTCCAAACAACAAAGTTAACGACTATTAAAATAGCATCGATTTTCCTACGAGATTTCCCAAGAAATCATTTTACACTGTCAGTAACGTTTATCTTATTTTATCCAAACTACTCGCAAACATTTTTAACCAGTTCAAACCACTTTTTTAAGTAAGTAACACTTTCTCAAGTGCGCTCGATACGATTCCACGATTTTGATAATTTACGATAATTATCTGTGAAACAAGGAGAAATTCCTCAAACGCACAGGGAGGAATAATTGAAAGTTGCGAAAAAAGGCAACATTTCACACGTATACTATAATTTTCAGTAGATATTACATTTCATATACGAAACGGAATGTCGAATATTTCAAAGAAAGCGTCGTGTCAGAGCTCGCGAATATTGGGTTGCTCAGGGCCGTTAAAGAGATGTATCTACCGTGCCACTTCTACGTCAGTTATTCTTCCCTCAACTATATTATTCCGTCTGGCTATCTCAAAGGCAGAGCCGAGATGCGTTCTCTTTACGTTTTAATGCGTCTCGCGGAATAATGCATCTCTCTACAAGGCAAGCACTCGAGTATACGTCAAATTTATGATTTTCTTTCGATTGCAACTCGAAAAATATCCATCAATTCCATCTATTCCATCGTTTTAATAATAATTAGAAACGATATTATTTAATAATAATTAGAAACAATGATATTAGATCGATATTATTATTCATTTTGCATTAAACTAACTATGAATAACAGACGAGTAGGTAATCAACGTTTCAAAAAATCTAACACAAATCTAAGTACAAAGAATTCACATGTTACAATTTGGAAAGCATGCAATGTAAAAGTCAATGTAAAATTAATCACTTAATTTCTCATCACGATACACGACTCCAATTAATTTGACACGTACAATGAGAACATTTTTTCAATTGGCTCTACTTTGAACAATATAAGAATCCGCGTCTATTTTAACGTACACGTACTGTTCGAATAGGATTCAATGATCTATCTTCTCTATACGAAAATGTATCTCCTCGATAGCTAATCGCATCTTTATCGAGAATATTTTCGATGGTACTATCTACTACTTATATAGTATTGCAACTGCTGGACAGAGAAATCGAAAGGGTATTGATCCGTGTAAAGGGCTCAATGCCTCCTACCAAAAACAAAAAAAACAAAAAAAAAAAAAACTCAACTAAAGCAATGAGAAGCGTTTAAAGGGTCATTGAGCCAATCATGGTCAGTAATATGAATACTTGAAGAGAACTATTAAAAGTAAAACAATGAAAGATCATGGCCGGGCTGTGCTTGTACTAGCTGACAGAAGGTCCAATCTCTATAGTTTATGTATTCATTAAGAAAAAAATATTAATCGAGAACACATAGAAATATAACGTGATGCGTTACACGGCGCACGAAAAATCGTGAGGCAAGAAACGTTACGGATTTGCACAGAGGCGAGAATTTGAGATTTCTTAGGCCTGTAAATTTCATCCTTTACGAAACGTGAAGTTCTTTTCAATATATTTTAACTTGAAGCTTTTCGGATAATGGAAAAACTGTTTGCACGGTATGCAAAATTTCATCTCGGAATTCCAATGTATACGAAATTAAATGTCAAAATCCCTTATTGACGATATCTTGGATTAATTGTTGACAAAATTGCTTGAAAATTGAAGATGTAACGCGGTATGCGGGTTTTCAGGTGCCGTGTGCTAATCACAGCAAGTTGACAAAAAAAAAAAGATACTTATATGATATGTTACAAGTAAAGAAATTTAAAAATAAAGAAAAAAGGAAAGAGAGAGAGAGAGAGAGAGAGAAAATGAGAAAATGACAGAGAAAATAAAAATATTCATATGACGATATATTTTCGGTGTAAAGCAAATGTATATGTAATATATCCGTGGTAAAACTACGTATGTCTTGTAGTTTTAACGTACCGGTGGAAGCGATCTTCTTTGCGAGCATTTTAAAAATTCCAAATTGAACGAGGTAAACGTTATAAAATGATGACGAAAATTAAATATACTAAAAATAAATCCATATTTTTCTTTTAATGCCATAAAAGAGGATGCTCCCAATCGGTATAAGCATATAATCGGACTATTCGTTTGAATGTTGATTGTTAAATGTTAGGATAGAGAATTTTAAGAAAAAAATGCCCAATCTACAAGCATCGTGCATCGGAAATATATTTCGTTGCGTGTGGAATTCCGTTATACCAGTAAAATATTTCCATCGAAATGGAACATCGATCGTTTCTTATTTTTTCTTAAATATACGTTCTTGGAAATTTTGATCGTGTAATCGTTTTTTCACGTATGATCACTATCTAACTAATAACGTATATTGTTACTTAAAGGTTAATGTTATTTTATTGTTTACACATATCGTTAAAAAGATTTCTGTCATGTATAATGTCGATTATTCTATTAAAAACTTACAATATTACGAGGCGTCTGGAATCAATACCAACCAAATCCATTTTTTTCTTCCGACAGTTCAGTTTAAAATTTATTGTTACGATTATGTTACACTTAACAAGGTCGATCGGACTTGGCGAGTTTTGATTTTAAATGTCTCACATGTTTGTTGCAAGCTAAGTCATTAAAAAAGGGTATGCATAAAAAATTTTCCAGTTTCTTTAACAACGTGACGACAGATTTTTTTTTACAAATATTTGCAAGTAGTTTCCCCTCTATCTGTCTGTTTCTATTGTGTATTAAAGTAATAATAATAAATTAGTTTTATATTTCAGTATCATACGAAAAGGTTGCCCTTTTATTAATCTTTTAAACTTATAATTTCACTTGATATCTTATAAAAAAAATGTACGTTTATATTGTATTTTTACTTTTTTTGAAATAATGATATAATACTAGTCGACGTTTCGCAAATGTAATGGTTAATATGCAAGAAGATTATTTACAATTTCTTCGAAATATAGAGTGATATTGATTTGACAAGTACAATCACTGCCACTGCTTATTTACAACGAAATTCACTTTTCTCATTAGAAATTTTAACGCTGCCTCAAAGGGGTAGTTATTGATATTTAAAACACGGATAAACAACGTGTAAACTTGAGTTTATACTTGCTGAAATAAATTAATGTTTTAATGATACACGAATATATTTTTGGCGGTAAAATCATCGTTTGGAACGCTGCGTTCGTATCCGTCTTAGCTATGAAAAAGCCTATATTGACATAATTATCTTAATTAGTATTATATTATATTTGAAAGTATGTAACTATTTTATAAATAAATAGATAATCAATGTTGATTGTTTTATTTTTTATTTTTTAAATAATGTTTTCATTAAAGATAAGGTGCTATTATTATACCGAAAAGAAATTATACCTTATAAAAGTCTTCACCGTTTTATTTTTTCCCATCCATAATTGTACAACTCGCTTATTTTTTTATTACACTTAAAAATATGGAATAAGTATCATGAATTTTTTGTATACATCTTATAAAATTCTTCCAGTTCCTAACTCTTATTTGTAAAGTGATTTGTGTTAATTAGTAATATTGACTAAAATGCATTATCAAATTTTACGAACGATACATTTTATATATCATCGCGTACTTCAGAATAACTTCAACATGGAAACATATAATACACAATTCCTTTCAGATATATAGATGCATAATGTATTAATTAAAATTGTGTTTTCTTTATAAAAATGTAGAGTAAAGAACTATGCACTTTTAGACTCTGACTTCATTTTTTCCAATAATTGTTGACCAACAAAATCCCAATATCTCCTTCTTATTGTATCATGTTTCTCAGATAATTCTTTACACAGCTATGGTTGTAATTATAAATACAATTAATTAATATCAATTCATTGATATATACAAGTAAAAATAACAATACCTTAAGAGCATTATTAATGTGAAATATTGAATCTGGCGACTCATCTGTTATTGGTCTCTCTTGACAAATGTCTATAATACAGGCCAATAAATGATTAACACGACACCCAGCATTATATAATTTCTCACACTTCTGTCTCACTTTTTCATTATAAGCCAAACCACTGCTATCTTGCATCAAAATACTAAAATGTAATAATTTACAGATTAATTAAATTACATCATTCACAAACAAAAATGGCATTAAAAAAAAAATCAACAATACCCTCGCAGATAATTCCAAGCACTTTCGTTGCCTTTAACTAATTCTATTTTATCCAAAGCATAATCAATTTCTCTGTCAATTATATTTTGCTCAAACTTGGTTGTGTTACTTATTACAAAGTAACGTTGATTCCAAGCAGAATTATTACGAATATCTTCGTTCAATAAATGTTCTGTATATTCCAATTCTTGGTCAAACAAACTGCGCATTGTACAAATAAAATATTCGTTATTAGTTGGCACGATGGTTGGTAAATTTCGTATAGATAAATACGATGTACTAACTTAAATGTTTTTATACACCACTGACGATGCTGCCAAACGTGATAATTTTTTGCATCAACTTTTAAAATATTTTCTGTAAACTCTAATTCCCCAGTAGGATCTTGAAGCCATTCAACAATGAGTTTCCTATGATGCCACACTTGATAATTTTTAGAATTATATTCTGTTAGTATATTGGTAGATTTTAATTCATCTCGCAATTCTTTGCCCAGAGCTCTAAGTATCTCTCTTCTATATTGCCATACTGTATAATTTGCTGGATTAAGGTAGATGCAATCTTCCGTTAAAGCTAGTGCACGCTCCGACTTCTCACCAGATTTTAGGATAGCCCGAAAATAGTCATACGAGTCCCTAACTTGAGAAATGATAATAAAATCTTAGTAAGCCAGCATTAAATGAAAATAAATTGATTAGTAAATATTACAGTATGTGATAAATGTAATTTTGTTTCTTATCATTCACAAATAAACTAAAAACATTTAAGGTAAAAATATGTCGTATGTTGTTTTTGTACAAATCTACATAATCTATATTTATTATATAAGAAATCTAAACTAATATAACATGTATTTATTCCCTCTTTTTGACTGCGTAACGGATGTAATCGAAATAACGAACAATGCAATAGCGCACTAGTTTTCCATTTCATTCTTTCATTTCAACATCTATGATCTATACAAATATTTATCAACTGTACTTTAGAACAAATGAGGTTAGGTGTATGGCAATGCTTCATAATAGTAAGAATATAATACAAATAAGATAAAACTAATAATCCTATTGCCACTTAAACACGACGTACGTTTCAAAAATGATGTAAAATGCTTACATTTTTCGGAATAAGCAATTGAAACAATAGGATTAGGACCATCATCCTGAGGCACAGGAATCACATCTCTCCATTCTTCACGATCCCTGTATAGTACCCAGCCTGTCTCTTCCGAACTTTCATCGGAGCTTTCCATCATTTTTTAATTTTCACAAAATATGGTAAAACGACGAAATTGCAAGTCTACTTCCACAGTTTGGTTAGAATATCAGGTTTATCTTATCAAACCTGTTAAACACTCCATTACACATGGAGAATTGTCGATGATGTATCGATAGTTTCTGCTATCGATGGTTATCGATATTTTTCGATGACTGATAATTTCGATACCTTTTGTTTTATAGTCGTGAATCTATTCTGATATACATCAAAAGAAATTGAAAATTTGTATTGAATATGTGTTGCTATAAATCATTAGTATTTGCATTGAATTTTAGAATATAGTCTACCTATGTTTACATTGCAAAATAAATAAATGTGTGTGCAATGTAGACGAAATAATAGATATTTTTGATACGTTTCAAATAAGCAATTATTTATTTCTCCCATTTAATATTACTCAAATTTTTGCGCGACTAATTAATACGTGCCATTCTTTGGGCATGGTGGCGCCATCTGTTGGTAGAACATTGGTACTAGTACGTTTCTAAATATCCTAAATAAGCTACTTTACAGCTCAAATGGAACATAAAGAAAGAAGCAGAGGCTCTAATTAAAAGGATGCAATTATAAAATTTTAATTGTTTTAATTCAGTCTTAATTAGATTTTCTTCTCAAATGAAAATTAAATCGATTCAATGTAACTGTTCGAAGAATTCTACGACCTCTACTTCGAAGAATTTAGATCAACGACATCTATGTTCATTAAATCCGTTCCGTCGAGATGTGTATAAACAACAGAATATTTAAAAATTGTTAGTAATTTTATCATCACCATGGAAATATTTACAGAAACTTATATATACTGCAATCATTATGTTAATTATTCATTCGTTATTTAACTTTCATTATTTAATCTTCGTTATTTGATATTTATTATTAGTAATTATATGTTTTGTTACATCGATAATATTTTTATATAAACTACTAAAATTAATTACGGAGTTATCATTTATTTGTAGTATTGTGATATTAATTTATTTATCATCATAGGCACTACAAAATCTGAAACATTAGCGGCACATAGCGATGAAACCTTAGAACTTATCGCTATCTTGGTCCTTATTGCACACTATCGCGATCTTTGTCTACAGACAAGTGAGGTGCTGTCATCTATTCGAGACAAAAGATGAACGAAAAATAATTCTAATAAGAATCGACAAATGGCAGCACGTTGTTTCTCCGTAGACCATGTGCAACAAGGGCAAACATACTGTTCCGTAAGAGACAAGGAGAGCAATACAACGGAGACAGAGATAGCGTTTAGTTCCATTCTTACACCGCTACGTGTCGCTAGCATTTCAGTGTCCACTGAATTGATCAAATCTTCATTTGAAAGAAGAACTTAATTAAAAAGATTAATTTGTGAATATATGCAGCTGTGCTTGTCTTACCAGACCCCAAACTTTCACTCCATATCCGATTGGAATGCACGTGTGATGATTTATAAACTTTGCTCACTATATACGGTGAGGAATATAGGAAGTATCAATTTGTACACTTGATGAAAAATTGTCGAACTTTGTGAGAGAAACTGGTACAACAAATAAAGTTAAAGAATCGTTGTAAAAAAAAAAGACTTGAATCTTTGGTTCAATGGAGGATTTAGTCACATGAAAAAAATTTTTGCAGTGTCTTTAAATATGTCTTTAATATGTCTTTAAATTTGCAAAATTTTCGAGAGAAACATCTTTGAAAAAAATGAATCAAGTAATGTAAAAAATAGAAGCTTTTTATGCTTTTCTATGACATCTTTTTACAAAGTTATGATAGTTTAAAAATCATCGACAATTTTTCCGTTAGGCACGCGGCATAAGAAATGCAGCTTTCAAGTTGCTGTAACTTATTAAATGAAAAAAGGATCATAAAATAATCAAATTGGGCTCATCTCTTAGACTAGTTTGTTTCTTTCAAACGTCATTCTAAAACTGCATAAGAAAAGATTTTACACATTTTAAATATTTTTGAGAACATTGGAAAATTTTCGATTCAACATTATAACGATTCCTTAAAATTTATTGTACAATTTCTTTGGCAAGATGTATATCGACAATTTCTTCATCAAACGAACAGATAAGTATATTCTACACTCACTGTATGTAGATCGACCAACTGTTTACTTTTTAGTGAATAAAACAAGATGGATCTGCATGTGATGTACGCAGAAGAAGGAGAGGAGGAGAAAAAGAAGGAGGAGGAGGAAGAAGAAAAAGGATCGCGAAACTGTAACTGTACAATTATACAGCGTAGAGACTCGGTCGGTGGCTGGTGGCTGGTGGCTGGTGGCTGGTGGCCGTTTGACGGAAGGCGGCAAATTCCAGATAGTAACTGTCGTCGGGAGAATCATCGGTCAGCGTAGAAGGAAGGCATTTAATACCCTTTAGCGAGTAGGCAAGAAAGTGCAGCTCCACGTATACAGGACAGTTAGCCTGGCTACTTGCACAGAGAGCGGCCTCAACCATCGTAAGAAATTTATACGGCGCGGTGCGACGGCTTGCTAGCAATTGCACGGTCACCCCGTTGCATCGAGTCGCAATCGTGCTGTGAGTCGGTTTATCGGATGCTGCGTCAATCGAACTAACAACGGCAACAACAACAACAACAACAACAACAACAACCAATGTAACGCAAAGGTGGTGGCGGCGGCGGCGGCGGCGGCGGCGGCGATGACCAATCCGGGATCGAGAACGAGAATTTCGTCCTTCTCAATGGTTCTCAAATTCCGCGGCGATGTTGTTCTTTTCCATGGTTTTTATCGCGACCTCGGTGCCCGCTGTAATTCGACAGACTCGTTTAGCGACTCAGCTGCAAAACGGTTCCTCATCCGGGAATTTATGGCCAGATTCGGATCGTTTAGCCATCTTCGTGAAAGATGAGCGTTCTTTGACTTTTTTTCGCTCGTATTTCATATTTCAGTGGCAAAACGAACGAAACTTTTTCGTTCTTCTTCGCACGCGTGGTACTTTCGAAGAAATGCTAGCAAAAATGCTAGTAAAATTAGTAATAAAAGGTCCTGCACTGGATGCAAAATGTGCAAGTAGTAGTCCGGTTGATGCAGCTAATCGAAACCGCATCGGGAATAACGAGGAGAAAAGCTGCGAGCGCGTGAAATCGGTTGGCACGAAGGTGGCGCGACGAAATAGCTGTCTTGTTGGCGTTCTATAGAGAAGGCACGAGCACGTCCCGCCAGGTGAAATATTATACAGATGTTAGAAAGGGAAAAAATGGGCGGCCTGACGGGTGGCCGTTTGTGTTAGAACGGTAAGGCAGTTGTAAAATATTTAAGAGTCATCCCGGCCAGTTCTAACACCGGAGCTAGGCACAATGTGCTCTGTGATCTTTTTTTCACGACACTTCACCATCCACAATGACAGTGGGCTGGCTGTGAGCGGTGTGTCAAAGGCTCTAGTATTCTTTCAAACTGCCTCTGTTTCTTTCCGTTACGCCCGACTTTCGATATTGTCGGCGAACGAATAAATGCCGGCTAATTGTAACTGGTTTAGGTTTGTGCAAGAAAATCCAAGAAAATATCGCTTAACGATATGTTAAACGAGACATACTGCTGCTGCTTCCAGTAAAAATTTCATATCGCTTTCCCTCTTTTCCCTTTTGGCAAGTGCTGCAAATACCTCTGTATAAACACATGTGTAAACACGCTTTATCGAACGTAAACTCGATTACCTAGAAGTAGTTCGAGTTTTACCGTATTCGGGAAATAATCGGTGGGCAGCTGGTCGGAATACCAGGTGATCGAAGAAGAGAATCGAAAAAGGCACGCGTCCTGCGGCGAATGTCGGAGAATCGATCTCGTGTAAAGACGGCAATTGGCAATTTTAAGCTATTCGAACGTTCCGCCTTTCTATAAGTGGCACAGCTGTAACAAGATTATAAGCAGGAAGAAAGTTGGCTCGTTTGGCTCGGAGATGGTTGCATTGTCCATTTTCTTCGGCCGTAAGGCGGTTCGTTACGACGTCTACTCGTCGAATCTAACAAACGCCGAAGGGAAATTATTTGAATTATTTTGTTCGTGCAAGTGATATAAACGTTCGATTAAACGACACGCGGAAACGTTGAAAGGTACGAAAAAAAAGGTACGAAAACGGCAGGGGAGACAATTGTACAATTGTAAAAAGTGTACGCGTTGGAAAAATGGCTGAAAATTGCGGCGAAAAATGCGGTAACAAGGGTATCAATTATCATAGTTGCAAGGGAAACGTTCGTTTAGCGAAGTTTCATCGACGCGACGCGACGACTCGTCCGTTCGAGGGATGATTTACAGATGGGTTAAAATTCACGACGCGCGGCGCGGCGCGGCACGGCACGGCGGTACATCGAGGAGAACCGCGAGAAAGGAATGCCGATGCAGGTTGAGCTACGGTTGACGAGGGCATTAAATGGAAGGAGAGGAGAGGACGTTGGAAAGAGGGAGAGCAACGTTGTAAATTAATGCCGGGAGACTCTTTAGCTAAATTAATTGCGCCAATGGTAATTACACTTAGAACGCGCCGGTCTGCTCGCATCCTGCTTTAAACGGTGCTGGCACTTCTTGTTTTCTTACCTTGGCCGTCTCCTCTCATTTTGTTCCGAGAGTGTAGCGTGGAGCAGCCTCTCTTTTACAACGACGTTGGACCGTGTGCCAACCTGTTGGACGATAGCCACAGTCTCCATTGACTCTCCGTACAAGCGTGAAACACGTGTTCGCACACGCACAAATATAATTAGCTGGACATTTTTGCGAAGACCAAGGCGATACAATGTTCGTTCGCTTCTTTCACTTGGCGACACGCATACCACAATTGTATTTGCCATTTGCCATTTGCCATTTGCCGTCGCGTCGGGAGGTCGGTACTATTCAAGCGAATCAAACGTGTTCTGCTTTTCTGCTGTGTCGCGTCGCCGTTCTGCTGTTCTGCTCTTTTCCCCTACGATCCACAGTTTCCATAGTCCTTAATGCGATCAACTGTCCGTTGCGTCGATACGTCGTTCCATACGTTTTCTTCGAACCAAAGTTGATGGACGTTCAAGTCGAAATTCGTCACGCACAGACGCCCGTGCTTTTCTCTACTTGCAGGACGTTGTCTTTACATTTCTTCTTACGATTTATTTTACGTAATTTT